ATGTTATGAAGTACTTTTTGAGCCTAATTGCCACTTGATTCCCAAACCCAAAATGGGGGATTTTGGGGGAAACTCAAAAGTTTTAAACGTTAAGCCCCATCGAGTGACCCCTCATTTTGAAGGTCCTGATTAAAGGAAACTAACAACGAGAACTAGAGGTCTCTATCTTAATACAGTAAAAAATGGCAGCTGATTGAAATCTTTAGAAATCATAATTAACTTGAAATTTTATATTCAATTGGCTGCCATATTTTACTGTGTTAAGATAGAGACGTCTAGTTTGCGTTGTTAGTTTCCTTTAATCAGGACCTTCAAAATGAGGGGTCACTCGATGGGGCTTAATGTTTAAAACTTTTTGAGTTTCCCCCAAAATCCCCCATTTTGGGTTTGGGAATCAAGTGGCAATTAGGCTTAAAAATTACTTCATAACATGCCATAAAGGTGTGTAGAGTTTATTTTTCTAGCGTGAGCCGTTACAAAATTTACAGGGGGTCTACAGGCTTGGAAAGCTGCAAGTTGATTTTAACTTCTGAGAATTTCAATGGGCTGCCATTTTTTACTGGATTAAGATAGAGAGACCTCTAGTTTGCATTTTTTGTTTTCATTTACCAGGACCTTCAAAATGAGGGGTCACTCGATAGGTCTTATCTTTTGAAAATTTTGAGTTTCTCCCAAAATCCCCCATTTTGGGAATGTACACCAAGTGGCGGTTATGCCCAAAAAGTACTTCATAACATGCCATGAAGGTGTGTCGAGTTTAGTTTTTCTAGTAAGGGCCGTTACAAAATTAACAGGGGGTCTCCAAACTCTTTACTAACCCTGCATAATACGATTAGATACAAATTTGACATAGGATTATATCCTGAAAAAAGTCAAAGCCAAAGTCCTTGTTTTTTGTTAACCTGATTTTTGTTTTGATAAAAAATTGGTTTTTTTTGCAAGATGATGACCATTGGTACCATTTTCCTCCGTTTAATAATTGATCAACGCTGTTTGGCGAAATAATATTACATTTGAATGGTAAAAATGTAACTGGCATAAGCATTCATTTCAAGTTACGGCCTGATTCATACGTTGAAGTACAGTGCTACTAATTATACTACTATTACAAATGAAAGTTTGTGTTTTTGGGGTTAATCACTCAATTTTTGTTCAGGCCATACACATGTAAATTACAATTAATAAATTAAGTTTTTAGGTAACTTATTTTGTAATTCATTGTCATAATGCTGAAAAAGAAAATACGTATGGGTATTATACCAGGTATACACCATTTAAGTTTCATGTTTTGTCTTCAATGAAAATTTGCGAAAACATAATTATTTTTATTTTTATTCTAGAATGACCCTTAATCGTTAATTTGTAGTGAGTTTACAAATTTTTTAAAACAATAACCGTTGATTAAAAAGAAAAGTTGTCTTGCGTGGATGCGTGTACTTGATTTCTATGGCAGATCTTTAAAGGAAAACGATTAAACAATTAATGAATTAACAATAACTAATGTATAGTTAACTTAACAGTAAACTAGATAACAAACATATGTCCAGGTAAACTGCAAAAAGTGATGCATTTTATAATACACAGACAACAGCGGCTTTTGCCAACAAAGATGGCGGGTCGTCGTGTACACCCCATGTTAACTCTCGTCAACCCGCCACCTTGCATGTAAGCGACAACGTGCCACCACGTCAACCCACCATCACTATTTTATGAGGTGGCGGCTTGTCATGTACGCTCAATGTTCGGTGTCGTCAACCCGCCACCTCACACGTAGACGGCAACCAGCCACCACACTAAAGAGGTGGCTGGTTGACGTGTATGGACACGTCTAAGCACCACCAGGACAACGTGCCACCACCACACATTTTTCCGAGGTTGCGGGTTGTCGTGCACGCTAGAGTCAACGTGCCACCCTGACAACGAGCCACCACGTCAACCCGCCACCTCAAACTTCTTCTTCTTTTTGATGGTGGGTTGACGTGGTGGCGGGTTGTCGTGGTGGTGCCTTGGCGCGTTCCCTATTTTACTAACAAAGACCTTTAATTTGATGTACTTATCAACCTATGCTTAACTAATGTTGCAACCGGTTTCAACTTCGTTGAGTCATCTTCAGGCTTCCAAGGATATAAGTAATCACTTAATTTAAAGGTCGTCATACTTTTTAAAATACGAATAAACATAAAACACTAACATTGAACACTGACTTTTAACATTTAAAAAACACACACAAAATTACTGAGAAGGTGACGAGCGACGTGTACTGACCGGATGTAAAGCCTAGACTACCGTGGTTATGAGTAGGTCTACCTACGCACCGTGTAGACCACCAGTAATTTTGTGAGTTTTTTTTAAATATTAAACGTCAGTGCTTAGTCTTCAATGTCCGTACTCATTCGTTTTTAAAAACTATGACGACCGACCTTCAAATGAAGTGATAAATTATATCCTCGGAAGCCTGAAGATGGCTCCACGGAGTTGAACCCGGTTGCAACATAAGCAACGAATTGGATTACCGTACTTAAATGCATGTATTTAAACCACTTTTAAGTAATTATTATTGTAAATGATGTATTTTGCGCTAAAATGCATATTTCCTGAGATATTCAATACAAACAAAAAAATGCAATTTTTCCAACTTTTAGCAACTCTCCCCCTTAAACTCGATGCTAAAATAGGTGTAACTTTTTACCGAACAGTGTGTGAACTGTACTGAACAACTAGGTGTCAAAAGTGTGCTTTCATTTTGGATGTCCAATTATATCTAATTGGACCGTACTAAAATCCAGAAATCCTGGGATTGGATTGAAGTGATTTAGACCTCTAATCCCTCGAGGCAAGAGTGAACATTTCCTTTCATGCCTTTATTAGCTTGTTTTACTTTTGAAATCTGTTTTGGGAAATTTTATAAAGAATCTGGAAACTATCCCTCTTAGAGTTTCAAACACACTGTTTTCCTGGATTTAATTCAAATCAGGTTCTGCTTGTAACTATTGAAATTATTAAAATACCCCCGCCTCAGCAAACCTGCAAACTAAGCAAATTTCCATATGTCTGATTAGATTTTCAATTAAATCTATTCAAATAACATCAGGATTAACGAGTACCTAAGTTTGCTGCCTACAGGGAGGGTTTTTTGTAAAATATTAATAGCTTAGTATAAAATAAATTGATTTGCCAGGTTTTATCCAGATATATCCATAAACAAGCAAACTACAGTTGACTTATTCTCCATAAGAATAACATGGATATTTTTAATTAAAAATTTTGTCCGTAACCAATAATTATACAGAAACACTTCAATATACTAAATTATTGGTTTTTTTAAGTTCTTCAAACTGGTTTAGAGCAAATTTGGGAAATTTAAAGTTTTGATGGTCAAAAAAGAGAAAAACAAATTTTCACCCCATAAATCCCCGTTCCCATAGTCCGATCATGCTGGTTCGCGAACTCGTTCAAATAAACTTAGGTTTACAAGTTTGTACCAAATTTAATCAAAATCGGATCATTTTTGCTCGAGTTATTGTGCTAACGGACACACACACACACATACAGGGTGTCACAAAAAAGTGTGATGGGCTATACAGGACCTAATTCTACATGCAAAAATAAGTCAAAAATGAAGAATAAAATTTTTTGGATTTCGGCTTAGTTTGGCCGTAATCCGCCATTTTGTTTTTTGGGGAAAATATTTATTATTTCAAAATCCCTTTGAGATATTTTTACGAAACTTGGCAAAATTATTTACACTATACAGTAAGTAACATTTATAAAAAAAATTATTATTTTAACTTTCCAAATTTCAAAATGGCGGCCGCATGAATTTTTTAATGCCAAATTTCATGAAAACCGGTACCTAAATCAAAATTTTGTAAGACACAAAAGTTTTAGTATGACAAATCCAACAAAACAAAAATGAATAAAATCGGTTCATAAATAAAGAAGCTGTGTTTATTTTAGTAATTTAGACTGAAATTACTTAATACGTTACATAAACTATTACATTACATTTAATACATTTTAATATTAATAATGTATTTTATCATGTTTTCGGATAGAACATGCAATTTAAAAACTTTTTTATTCTTGACATTTTTTTGATAAACCCACTCGTTTAGGAGTTACAGCCTATGGAAAAATGACTTCCGGTGGACATTTTACATCATGTAGCTCCAAAAAAAGTAGGTTTATAGCGAAAATGCGAAGAGAAAATAAGTCAGATAAGTCTTAAAATTGCATCCACATTCCATTAAGACCATAAAATACACAGTTTTCCACTTTTCAAGTTTGCCACCATTTTGGAAAATGGCCGCTATTTTTAAATAATAGAATTAATATTTTTAACGAATTTTATGGACTTTTTGGAATGTGGATGCAATTTTAAGACTTATTTGACTTATTTTCTCTTCACATTATTGCCATAAACCTACTTTTTTTGGAGCTACATGATGTAAAATGTACACCGGAAGTCATTTTTCCATAGGCTGTAACTCCTAAACGAGTGGGTTTATCAAAAAAATGTCAAGGAAAAAAAAGTTTTTAAATTGCATGTTCTATCCGAAAACATGATAAAATACAGGGTGTTCCATAAGAAATTTCAAAGTTGGTCGCCATTTTGGAAAATGGCGGCTGAATTTTGAAAAACTAAAATCATATTTTTAATTGCCACAAAAAATAAAGGAATGTCCCCCATTTAAAGTTTTCTCCAATTCTTACCGTTTCCGATATCCCAATGGTGGCCTCCTTGAGTTGATCACTCTGTATATATGAATTTGAACGGATGGTGTTTTTGGCTTCTAGGGACATCAAAATGAAAAAGTAAATCAGTCCCGGGTCCAAGTCTTACCATGAGACCTACGGTAATAGCTTATTCCCTATATGGGAAATTCGCTAAAAAGGGGAGATCTAAATGAAGTATGACTTGCAAGTAATAACAAAACCAGGAAAAAAATTCAAATGATTTAATAACAAATATTTATCAAAGAGTATTGCACCCTAATTTTTACAAATGTTTTAATTAAAATGTTTTCCAAACACATAATATTATATAATTTAAAAAATCACTAAACATAAAATATATATATACTACTATTCTTTATAAAATAAGTATTTTGACAATAGCATGAATAGGTTTGTGTCTTTTTGAGATTGTAGCAATATAAAATGGAAACTTAAAAACTTCTCGTAATGCAAAAGTTTTGGAGATGAGTTTTTGTTTGGATTGCTATACAACTTTCATTGTAGGTTTAGTATATTTCTTAAATATTTAAATCAAAACAATAAAATAAATGCAAGTAGGGAAAGTTACCAGTAGACTAATTAATTATTAAGGGTGCACTTATTTGATGGAATGTTTTGATTTACTAGACAATTGACGAGGAGATCTCCGAGGAGTAGCGGAGATAGATTTGACAACAGCTGCTCTCACTTGACCTGGTGTGTTCTGAGTCCACTTAGCAGGACTGGCCAACCTGTTGCGTTCTCTGAGCGGTGAATTAATATGCGAGGTATGATTCTTCAGTTTACTGACACCGCACCGACCTTCTGATGGAGTCTTTCCACTCTCTGTTTGAGTTTTGTATGAAGATTTATGGTTTTCTTTCACAAATCGTTGTTGGGGATTTTCTTTACTAATTAAAACATTGTTTTTTGAAGATAAGCTATCCGTCTTAAACATCACACTGCTACAAACTTTAGTGTCTTTGTTTACCATTTCCTGGTTTTGAAAAGTCTTCTGTACTCCACAATTTTTTCTTTGTAGTCTCCTATCTGTTGAATTTTTTGATGAGCTTCTTTTCTTGATCTCTTGACATTTATCCCTATTACTTCTTTTTATTGTGGCGTCATTATCAAAGTGTGTCATTGTATTAAACATTTTGGCTTTTTCTAAAACCATACCAGCATTCTGCGACCTAATTTTTGCCAAAGATGGACGACCAGTAATTGATTGTTGTCCTGACTTTTCTTCATCTTTTAAAAAGGTTTCTGCATTTTTCCACTCCATTGTATCCAGTGTCTTGTTAGAATTCAAATTCATAATAGTTGGAACTCTACTAACATCACCACCATGAAATGAAGACGCTCTTCGAGCCTGACTCCTGGTCAAAACACCAAATTCTGATGAGTTTAGGGTTACATGGTCCAAAGAGTTGCTGATGCTTTCTCTTTGGTTTTCATACGCTTGAGATTTCAATTGGCTTTTAAAATTATCTTGAGACTCGTGCGTTGAGATCATTAAGGAATTTGGATATCCATTATTATATGTATTAGGGCTATTTGGGGCCTCTCTTCTAAAATTATTATAACTAATCTGATGTGAGGCTGATTTCTTATTACTAATGTTTAGCGAAAGATTTCTTTTAATTTTTGTTGCCCTGTCTCTTGATCTGCGAATTGTGCCTATTTTCCTAGCACTGGGAGATCTTATTACCTTTTTTCCGGAACTTCCGCGGATCTTTAGCTCTTTACTTAATCTTGTTGCTAATTCATCTGAAGTTGGACTACTGAGTTTTTCAACAGATTCAAGCGTTTTCTCATATGCAGTTTGAATTATTTTTACAGAATTTGAATTTGATTTATCAGGTGTTAATTCTAAATCACTCATAGAAACCCCCACAATATTTTCAAATTCAGATGAAATTCGTGATTCAATTATAGACACTCGTTTTTTTATATCTTCATATTCACTTCTTGAAATTCTAACATAATCCTTAGATGAATTTGTCAAGTCAAGTGTATCAGGAGTAGCTGTCAGTTCTAGTCCGGAATCATCCATTCTCTGAAACAAAAAGAAGGGATTCAGATTATGTAAACCAAATTGTATACAACAGTTTCATTTATGGTTTATTCTTTCTACATAAATCTAACAATACGATACAAATCAATTATTTTATTGTAGACTTTATAGATTGGATTAGGTTTTGAGGGAATTTCGTATACAGTACTAAATATAATAATAATTATAAAATTGTGTGTATTAAAAAAAACTTAATTTGTGCACTAAAATACTAATTTTACTTCATAAATGTTTGTATTTATTGACCTGGAAGTAACCTCCAAGTGTGCCCTCTCTCGTTTTGAAAACCAATGCCCCCTCTGAAAGGTTAATAGTATAAGGTGATATACAGGGTGTCCCACGTAAGGTGTCTCAAACCGAAAAACGGCTTAACGTACAAGGATGAAATAAAATAATTTCCTACTAAATCGACCCCAAAAAATAACGTAAAAATATTTTTTTTCCGATACAGGGTGTACCAAAAACTGAGGGTCACTAGTTTGAATCTTGGAATTTTCAAAATTAACATATCTCATGATATACATAATTTTAAAGGTATTTAATAAACAAAAATTCTGGCGAAAACATAGATTAAGTTTTTAGAAAACTAGAAAAGTTATTTTTAGTTAGTTTTAGTTTTTAGAAAGTTTATAGAAAACTTCAAAATGGCGGAAGTTTTTTGGAGAAAAATCAATATGTTTTTAATACTCTGTGTTTCCTATACCAAAGCACTTAGCCCTTCTTTGGTTAAATTTTCGTACTCATTATGAAATTAGCTTTACTTTGATATGCTACAAGTAAGGGATTTTTGAAATAATAAAAATTCCAACAAAATAGATTTTTGAAAGATTGCAAATGCCCACTGTTCAAAATTTTAAAATAGAGACATAATGTCAAGTGGCAGATAATTTTATAGGCTTTTTCATTCTTAACAACTTTGTAATTTAGACCCACTTCGTATCTCTTTTAGTTTTTGTGTACTAATGGCCCCATTTCATCATTTCAGTACCACCCTTTTCCTGCCGATCCAGTCCAGGTAAACCGATGTATTGATAAAAATTGTCCAGATAAAGAGAGTCACTTCTGTCGAGTCAAGTTCGGTTGAACTGATGTCCGATTAAATAGGTGTATGGATAAGAGAACAAAGAGCGAATCTGCTGTAGCTGGTTAGCTGATAGACATGATAACTATCAATCAACTAATTTCTTCTTTCCCTCAAATACCACCTAAGTATGTACTAATATTGGGACTTAACAGAAATTTGAAATATATTGTTTAAGAGTCTTCATAACCCATTTAAAAAAGGGCAAAACATGTCTTTATATTTAGCTGATTTCGATACTATTTATCAGGACTGAATTTGGAAAGGTGTTAATTGTTGTCAAAGCCTATAAAAAACTTAGGGTAGGCCTATCTCAAATAGATATATTTTAAATCCTAAGTATCGTTTTTTTAAAACCAAAAATGGGTAAAAATTGACATTTTTACACAGTTATACAAACAATTTGAAAATAGTTTTAAAAGTGTACGGCTCTTGTGTACTAATAGCCATTTGTAAAATGACCGGCAATTGTTTAGCTCTTGTCTTGTCATTTACCTGACACACCCCATCAACTTCTGTTATGACTGGCACGTGTGTAGCTTATGCAATTTGTTTGAAATGTAACGCTCTTTAATGCAATTAATTGATAATTCATTTAAAAAACTTAATCAATTTTAGACTAATAGGATATATAATTATAAAATACATTATTTAAGGAGGAAATAATGTGAGTGACCAAGCTCAAAAAATTAATTCCAATTATAAAAAGACGTTGGCTTATATTTATTTAAAATCAAATTTTGTAATTATTAGTTGTTTTTGTAGTAAAAACCTATAATAATGCAAACATGTAACAACATGTCAGTAATATAAATAAAGCAATAAAGGATACAGATATTATAAAGACACTTTACCATAGTTGTTTTATAAGGCTGATTGTTGCTCTGGTTGATTCTGAAAGACAAGAAATACCTAATCTACATAGGAAGAGCTAATATCCCAGTGACTCCATAAGATCAATGTGCGGCTCATTGTCCTAAGGTAATGTAGATTGCCACTACACGTGCGTAGTTGTGGAGTTGCGTCTTAAGTAGTTTTGTGTGAATGATGTTTTCAGAATGGCGCGTGTAATGAACCTGCACTGTGTACCCACCTGTCCACACCTCCTCCGCCCCGCCACCCCCTATGCCCTTAACCCCAAAACACAACCACCCGGAGGGTGATGAAGACTCCTAAAACAGTTTTTTTTTGTAATTTTCAATGTCCATGAAAAATGTAAATAATTATATAAAGTAAAACATTTAATAATCAGCAAACAACTTACCTCTACCCTTTTATGTTTCTTGGAAAACCCAAAGTTTGACAGCCGTAATCTGGAGCTAGAAAGAGACCTCGATGACTTCACTTTTCTTTCCCTACAAAATATATTTAATTTTCAGAACCTAATAGTAGAACTTTGTATAAGAAAAGAAATGTTATTGTTGTTATATAATATTATACTTGTGATATTATCTACTGCAGTGTCAGAAAAACAACCAGAAAAAATATTTTTCCTTTTTTTAGTCAACTGACTAAGTAGTCTTTCTTGCACTGAATATAGAACAGAAAGCTGCTAATTGGTGCATTTACTTACTTTGGCGCACACTTTTTACTTTTTCGCACAGTTATTACTTTGTGACACACCAGTATTCCAACAAAAGAACACAAAACAGTGTGCTTTTATAATGCACGTAATCTGTGTAGGCATGGAAATAGGTTGGCAACACTTAAAGATACTACGACTACGATCACCTGGTGTAGCGTTTCCCTTTTTGTTCAATTTTTGGATTTAATCTAACCTAAAAACGTGTTGTACAGTGTTTGAAAGAATAATTAATTATATTCTTTATAGTAACGGTAGGAAAAATATAATGTGTAACACGAGCGCAAAATGCCTTGTCTGCACTCAAGAAACGTTCCACATTTAACACAGTAAACATTTCTCTCGTGTGCAGCAAACTGCCACTTCGCCCACTAGTTACACAAATAACTATTGTCCTCACCCAACAAAATCTCTGTACCTACCTAACATCTTAACTGAAAAATCCACAGTTTTTGGATCTTGAATATTTAGAGTACCGGTATAAGTTGAAGTGATTAGAAACAGTAAAAAGGCAAAAACTGTGATACACTTTCTCCTGGGATCAGAATTTAGCTTATGGAATAGTTGATGTAGTTAAGTTTAACTTATTAAAACTCCCTGTAGTTAAACCTTCTTTAACTGTCACTATCAGACCAAAGCTGAAACACATGATAGGATGGACGGAAAAAGAGGTTCTATCATAATTGTGTATGTTGTAGTAACACAATTAATTTTAATGAAAAGTGATGCAAATATGTCCTCTATATACCTCAAATATACTGTACCTCATCTACTGATCTACTGTACTGACATCTGGCTAAATTAAATACCACCGCTGCAGCAAACCTGCAGACTTAGCGAATTTCCATTTTCCTGATTGGATTTACACTAAAACGTCTCCTTAAAAATATCACATTTATTCCCTATTTAAATAGAACTAGCTTATTACCTAAGATTTGAGCGTAAATGAAAGCCGTTGGTTTATCGAGCATTTTGATACCAAAAACCGTAGAAAAGAACTACAGAATATTCTTAGGAAGAATTATATAATTTATTAGATACCCCTCTTTATAATAGAAAAAAATAATAAAAATTATTTTTTACGCTTTGTTGTGACGTTATCCTTGATCCAACAAAGATCCCTATAGGTGCATTGGATGCACAATATCAATATCTACAACTTTTGTAACATGTATCATGGCCTTTTTTAAGAGACTTTAGCACAAAGTTTAAAAAATGGGGATGGAACATATTTTTTATCTAAATTATTAACTTTAAAAAGAAATACTGACCATAAAACACACAATATATAATTAAAATATGACATTTTCCTGCATGGAATTTCACTGTGAGTATTTTAAAAGCGTTCGCACTACTGTAGATAGCTTGGTTTTTTCATAACATAGTTTTAAGTAAAAGCTTACACTGTAAATTACGTTTTCTGCCATTTTCCAAGATGGCGGCTATTGCCCAAGGGTACCAAAAAAGTACCCGGTGGTTTTATGGTCTACATACCCTAAATAACTCAAATCAACAATAAAATTAACTGAATAGAACAAAACCAGGTTAGGGACAAAATCCTCATTTGGCTGCCGGACTACATTGCTTGCCGTATTTTGACTCGCCGTTTCCAACCTGCAATATTTCTTTGTCGTCGGGTCCTTGGCATGTTAAAACTAAAATAAAATGTAAAACTTTTCTCCCGTCGTGTCCTATAATAGGTAACATTTCTTTGCCGGGTTTCTAATTATTTTTAAAAACATGCAAACTGTTTACATTTCAAAACCAAACAAAACAGCTGGGATTTCTTTTACTTATGTATTGACATCTGTTTCAGAATATAATAACATTCTAATCAATCACAATGTTATCCTTATGGAAGGAACTTTGAGGGCAGCCCACGCCCTTCAAAAGATATATTTCGAAAATCTAAAGCCAGTTTGCACATCTACACACCTAGACGAACATTTTGGTATATAATATGTGGGGTTAAATCTTAAAACAAAAAAGCCTTATTGTTCACAAAGTTTCATGTCGCGTATTAAATATATAGATTAGTTTAACGAGAACTTAGGTTTGCTGCAACAGGGAGGGAAAAAAGTGCTTTTTGTTATAAAATGTTAATACTGTAGTTTAGTAAGAAATTAATATATTTTCCAAATTTGATCAAAATATGTTCATAAACAAGCAAACTACAACAGTTGACTTATTCTCCATAAGAATAACATCAAAATTATTAATTTAAAATTTTTTTGATTTTCTCCGTAACCATTAGGCGCATAATAACGCTTCAATATACTAAATTATTTGTTTTTTAATCTCTGCAAAATGGTTTGGAAAGAAATTGTGAAATTTTGTGTTTTTAGGGTCAAAAATGGGAAAACCCTACATTTACCCCACAAACCCCCGTTCCCATAGACTGATCATGCTGGTTTTCCAACTCGTTAGAATAAATGTAGGTTTATACGTTTGTACGAAATTTAATCAAAATCAAATCATTTTTGCTCGAGTTATCGTGCTAACTGACAAATATATCTTATCTTACTAATATTATAAATGTGAAAGATTGTGTGTTTGTTTGTTCGTTTGTTTGAAGTTCAATCACGCATTAACTACTGGACGGATTAGGCTGAAATTTGGCATGATGATAGCTCTCATTCCCTATTAACATATAGGCATATTCTTATCTCAAAAATCCTTTCGGACTCCGCCGCAGTGGCTCTGTAGTTCCCCATGATAACCTTATGAGTATTCATATTTAAAGGGAATTAAAGAATTTAGTCAGCTGTTTCAGCTAAAAAAGTTGGTTCTATGATATGCAAAAGCATTAAAAGTTATAAGATTTATCAACAGGGTGCAGCACTATTATTTTTTATTTATGAAAACAGCTAATTTGAACCAAGCAGCAACAAAAAACTGTGATAGGTATTGAGATCTGTCAAAGTTGGATTGTTTATACTTATGTTTATGTTTTTAATTTCATGAATAATTTGTGATATTTTGCAAAACTTTAATAGTTCATTTTTCTCTAATTGTTTAGCTGAAGTGGTAGAACGTTATGGCTATAGTAGATGTGTAATACTATAGTAGGCCTACCGTAAATTTAAAGAAGGAAATTTTATCAAACTGTGTCCTCCCCCATTGTAAACGCAAAGCTTGAGTATAAATGCAATAAGCATTTTATACTTATTGGCCAATCCCGTACGAAGGACGATTGTACCCGTCCTTTGTACGGGGTTGGCATATCAACTATCTAACTAAAGGAAATTACCAGTAAAAATCAAGGTTTTTTTATTACACTGGGTACAGTTCCATAGAAAACCTGCGATTATAATATCGGATTGAAATAAATATACAGGGTGGCTGGTCATCAGTGTTACAAAATTTTTTTGGCGGAAGTACAAAGTAAATGCAGTGTAATGATGCATATAAAAGGTTCCAAGTCCAAAAATTAGCTTCCCAAAGAATTATTTTATGTTTTTCAAAAATAACTATGTTTTCAAACTTAATACAGCTATTTCTCAATTACCGGTAAATGGATTTGAGTAGACAATGTCATTTTCGTGTTCTACATTAAATTTTGAATAAGAATAACGGAAAATGACGGAGGATCAGTTGTAAAAACCCCATTGTAAAAAGATTCAAAGATAAAAATTAAAATGTTTCATAAAAATTTAAAAAAAACATTGGTCTATTGTATTTGTTCACACCCTGTATGCAAGAAAGTGGCCGATTATGTTGAAAACTGCGCCATTTTATAAGCTTTCTAACCATATGCTACACTATTGAGGTTTAGATATTCTGTTGTTTGTTTTAGTGGTTTGAATACCAGGAAACAGGGAACTTTTTTACTGTTTTTACTGTTCAAGCTGAAACAAAAATACAACTTTTGCTTAATACATGCCGGCTTTCTATGTTTTAAATGTTAAAGACACCCTGTTTTCTGGTATTCAAACCACTAAAACAAACAACAGAATATCTAAACTTCAATAGTGTAGCATATGGTTAGAAAGCTTATAAAATGGCGCAGTTTTTAACATAATCGGCCACTTTCTTGTATACAGGGTGTGAACAAATACAATAGACCAATGTTTTTTAAATTTTTATGAAACATCTTAATTTTTATCTTTGAATCTATTTACAATGGGGTTTTTACAACTGATCCTCCGTCATTTTCCATTATTCTTATTCAAAATTTAATGTAGAACACGAAAATGACATTGTCTACTCAAATCCATTTACCGGTAATTGAGAAATAGCTGTATTAAGTTTGAAAACATAGTTATTTTTGAAAAACATAAAATAATTCTTTGGGAAGCTAATTTTTGGACTTGGAACCTTTTATATGCATCATTACACTGCATTTACTTTGTAATTCCGCCAAAAAAATTTTGTAACACTGATGACCAGCCACCCTGTATATTGATTACGATTCAGTTCGAAATAAAGATCACATTGAATTTAATTTTACCATAATTATTATATAAATAAAAACAATGACAAAAACACTGACAAAGTTGTTTCTTTATTTTATCCTTGGTTTTTTTTTATTTGAAAGACTAAAAATGGAAGAAATTATAAATTTTCAAACGGTATGCAGTAATTATATTAAGTTTTAGTTATTGTAAACTTACAAAAAATATATGTATATTTTTTAAATATTGATACTATTGATTGAGTTTTATTTATGAAAAATTAATAAAAACTTAAACAGATCATGACTCAATCACATATTTTAGAAACGATATATCGAACCAAATCAAAATCGGTATATTGATATTGAAACCGATAATATATTGCAAGTTTTCTGTGGAACTGTACCCATTATACCAGCTGCTCTTCTGTTTTGAAGCAATAGTAAATTATTGAGGGGAGTATCTGTATTGTGAATTGTTATTAGGAATGTATCAATTCTCGATACTTGGGAAACTGGTATCTGAATCGAGAATTCATCGTTAAAAGTTAATGCGGATACTGATACCCGACGTGTCTATAGGACTGCGAGAGATGTTAATGATTTTGTCACAATCACAGAAGGTGATGATAATGTTTCCGTTACAGCGGGGGAAATTTAGGATTTTAATTTTTTTTCCATCTTTACATAGTTTTTATTAGGCTACTCTAAAATGGACGGACATACTCTACTTTATTGAAGGAATAAATACATGAATTGGTATAACATAACAAATTCATACAGAAGATTTGGTAAAGTTAAGAAATGGTATCTGTGTTGAGAATGATTTTTTTAAGTATTGGTATTGAGGATCGATACATTTTGGTATTGACACATAACTAATTGTGATCGATAGTAAAAATTACTCTAAAGGTAGATTCACACAAATGAGTCCCATCACAACAGTCGTGACATAGTGAAAAAAATATTCTTCAGTAGATTTCCAGTTGCACTATCTACACTCATCTGGGGTAGTTCCGACGCAGGTCTGTCTGTCACTCTGCCAGCGTCCGTCAGTCAATGTTAGATTTACTCCCAACGAATATTTTGGGATTTTTCGGTCGCCTGATGGTCATGTGACGTACGTGTTTCACGAATATGTTTGTAAAATTTATGGTAGTTTTAATTAAAGTTCTTTATTTTACTTTCTTATGTCAACTTAAAATATTAAAATAACTAAGTTTAATCTTCTATTAGTATAAATAAGCTTGACTGTAACATCAATGTAAGTAAAATGATTGATGACTGACGGACAGTTGACTGACAAATTTCGGATACAACTGACTGAACTGTGACTCGTCTGTGACTGGACTGATTTGGGTGAATCACTTTTAATCAAGTCATTCCTGTATGAGTTTTGACTTATTTACCCCGTTTTGCTAACTTCTTGAAGCATATTTACATATAAACATTAATCTGTATTTTAATTTCAGAGTTTACATCTAATGACTGGAAGTTACTAGGTAAGAAGAGACTTACCCTTCACTCTTGTTGATGTAGAAACGGCTTTGAGATTTCTGACCTACTTCACAGCCCATAACATTTCTTGTGACACTGAAAATATAAAAAAAAAAATTAGGCTACAATTAATTTGTGTTTCAAACTGTGATGCAATTCGGCACTACAATTTGTAAAAAAACTGTGTGAACTTTTAGTTTCAGTGATTAGTGATCAAGCATTAAACCAATTTCAAGTAAAGCCAAGCAAGTAAGGGATTTTTCAATATAGGATTGTTAAAAGGGTTCTGCAAAGTTGACACCAGAAATCTATTCTTATTTTCTCTGCCTTAAAAATGTACAATAGTTTCTATATAAACACAACATGTTGCAAAAATCTGTGATTCTAGGTTGCACAATCATTGTTCACAGACAAATTTTGGTCATGATCACAGGTGATGATGATATTTAATTAGAGTAGAGTTCCATTACAACAAACCCTGTTATTTAAAACTTCAACTATTCCGAACTTAAGTTTGGAAATTATTATTTTTTTTAAGTCATTAGTATGAAGCTAACATGAAATCCAGAACATCATCCAAGGTCAGACACAACAAAATCATGAACATCATCACCTTCTCTCGTAATCATGGCCAAACAATGAACATCACCTGCAATTGCGGCTTAAGTATTGATCGCCCATCTTCGGATACTTCGCAGATACTTCAATCACAAAAACAAAAGCTCAACGCGGTCACATCAAAATTGTGAAAACCTTCCAAAATTAAGGAGAAATATAAAATATTTGCTTTAGGAGTAACTAGCAATCCAAGGGTACGTACAGTATTTACTTTATCTGTGAGTTTAGTTTGGTGTAAAAAAACTTTTGGTGCCCCACACTATAACAATAGCATAACAGTCACCTAATCTATAAGTAATAGGCAATTGGTAATTGCCAAGTAAGTAAGTAATCTATTGGTAGTACAAGTATAATTGGCAGACAGTGAGAAGCTTTGTGCAAGTCGGAGTATAATCTAATTAGCTAGGATAGCAACAATGATTTTTTTTTTTTTTTTTTTTTAATAGAGGGCCAGGCTTACAAGTTACCATGGGATTGCATCGCAGCTAGAACAGCTTATTGTGCACCCTCGTTCACAGGTCCTCATTCTCCGTCAAATCCCAGGTCCTTGGTGAACCGTGAGAGCCTCTTGACTATGGTGACCTGTTCTTCCCTTTGGTCTCCCATCAATAGGCCAAGGGATCTCATACCCAGACCTTGTAGGGCTGGGCACCTAAATATACCTTCACAGCTTTCACAAGGTCTCTGGCTGGGGCAAGCCGTAGCGAGATTTCCCTGAAAGGACTCAGCTCCTGAACTTGCTTGACCAGCCAATCCTTTGTGGCTGCGTCAGCACAGCCTCCACCTTTCTTCCTGGAGGCCTCATTAGAGTCAGCTTTGGGGGTACCACCCTTGACCTGCTTTTTCCCAGCATCCTAGTTCCCGGAGGAACTGGCTTTACAGGCAGCAGAGTTAGGGTGCTTGGCAGCCCACACCAGCCTCCTCTCACTTCTGGATAGCACCTTTTCGCCTTTGGCTAAAGCATCCGCTATCCTCCGTCTTTGCAACTCACCCCTGGAAAGTCGATTTTCGTACGAGGGATCTCATACGCAGACCTTGTAGGGCTGGGCACATAAATATACCTTCACAGCTTTCACAAGGTCTCTGGCTGGGGCAAGCCGTAGCGAGATTTCCCTGAAAGGTCTCAGCTCCTGAACTTGCTTGACCAGCCAATCCTTTGTGGCTGCGTCAGCACAGCCTCCACCTTTCTTCCTGGAGGCTTCATTAGAGTCAGCTTTGGGGGTACCACCCTTGCTCTGCTTTTTCCCAGCATCCTAGTTCCCGGAGGAACTGGCTTTGCAGGCAGCAGAGTTAGGGTGCTTGGCAGCCCACACCAGCCTCCTCTCACTTCTGGATAGCACCTTTTCGCCTTTGGCTAAAGCATCCGCTATCCTCCATCTTTGCAACTCGCCCCTGGAAAGTCGTTTTTCGTTCCTTTCCGGTTTCTGCGAGCTTGTCGTCATCGTCAGATTTCAGTAGACCTTCCTCCTCCATTTGGGTCAGACTGTCTACATTGTTCTCACGAATACCAGGTATTTAAGTCCACCTCCCCAGTGACCCGATTAGAGAGGTAAGGGGTGTGTACGACTGGGTTACCCCTGGTTCCCAGAAGGCTCCGTTAAGACACTGAATATTAGGCCCCCAGTGCCACAAGACTCTTGGCACGGATCGCATTACACCTTAGTCTAGGGCCCCCCTCACTTGGTTCTGTAGGTGGACCAACACCCAGTGGCAGAAGGTAGCTCTCCGCAGCTAACATAGCAACAATGATGATAAAACATAAATCACAATGTGTGTTGTAAACAGGGGTGCCCATCACCACCAAAGCTTACGTCGCAGAACCCCCCCCCCTCAAAATTCCTTGTTTAACCCAGGTCTGGGGGCTAACCCACAGTTAAAATGCAGGGGGGGGTGTCCCCAACACTTCTTTAAATTACACTGCAAATTTATGGGAATTTAAGCTTTTGAATCAAACTTTTAATCCAATTTGCATGGACAATTTTGCTTTTAAAATTGCCAATTAATATAAAAAACTAATTATAGGTGGATTTTATAAATAATTCACTATTGCATTCAGTAATCAATAATTCTAACCAACCAGTGGCTTGAATCCCCCCAAAAATCATATCAATCATGTTGCAACTTGCGACATCAAACCCTCCTGTGGGCACCTCTGGTTGTAAATGAGAGTGCAATAACAATTTTAAGGCTAAAGCTCAACAAAAAATTTTATAGAGACTGTAATGTAGTGTTAAACTTAACAGCCGCTCTTTAAATTGCTGATCTTATGAATCTTCACTACACACTGTAACATACAGGATGGTGCAACTACTTACGGCTGAGGTAGCAGGACTCGTGGGGTGAGGTGTGTTGCAGTGCAGATGTCTGGCAGTATGGCCCCATTGGGAAGAGACTCAAGCAAGTCTTTCCTACACCACACAACACACTACTGTACAAAAGCAACTACTCACACATAACACATAACCAATACTGTATAACACCTCATATCCGACCATGACAGGACCGGGCCACGGTCGGGACGGCCAAAAGGTCGAATATCGGGAGGAGCATAACCTGCAGTCTCCACAACATCACTACTCGTCTCCCACGACATCGGTAATCGTATCTCGCGCCAGCGGCAACACCCGTGAGCGTAACGTTTAGACGTCTCCCGCGACAGCGGTAACACCCGCTATCGGCAACAATGGTAATCGTCTGCTGCGATTACGGCAACATCCGCGATCGGCCTTAGGGTTAAGCGATCACACTCGGTGTTATCGCCTCAGACAAGAAACAAGTAGACGGTCGGACTCTAGGTCGGATATCCGGAGGATTTGGTTATTCTGAGGTCGGATAAGAGGGGTTATACTGTAAGTTCACAAAAGCATTCAATTGCTAGACATTGACAAATGTATTTGTGTCCACATAGTTGATTATCTATGATTATTGTATTCATCCCATTAAACCATTACATCAAGATTTTTTGACAGTTACATTCATCAATGTGTAAAAAAATAAAAATAAAACAACTACAAAAAAGAGTGTATCATAGTAAAGAAAATGTTAAAAAGGGTTAGAACCTTGTATTGAAAACCATGACTTGCGAATCTTGTCATGTGTTAATGAAATTTGAATCTATTTTATTTTTATTTTATTATTCTATTTTATGGATTTATTTTTGCGATTAATTAATTTTAAAACATTATTAGTACAGAGATGAAACTCAATAACCTAATACAAAAATAGCCTTTGTTACCGTTATGTCTACTACAGTAAAACCTCACTAACTCGACAGCCGGTAACTCAACAGTCTGGTTAACTCGAAACTCAAAAGCTGACAGAGCGCATGAAAAAAAGGCTATTTTTATTTTTTCCAGAGCTTTCTATTTAAATTTGTTGTTGAATAGTCAACATTTCTTTGAAGATTGTTGACTCATATGTAAATGTTATGTTGTATCAACACAAATTAAAATAGAGCAAAATTTAAAAGTCAATCATTAATTTAACTTATATCATTTTACTAACATCTTCAGTAGAACTTTAGTACCATCCATTGCTAAATAACTTCTTGATCAGCATTGTACGTGTTATTAAATTTACAGAAAGTAAATAAAAGAAACGTCTTATAACACTTAAAACATATATTTACGATTATACTGTTACTCACAAGACGGTAAATATACAAAAAAGATGGTAAGTGGTTACCATCTTTTTGGTTACCACTTACCATCTTTTTTGTATATTTACCGTCTTGTGAGTGACAGTATAAGCGTAAATATATGTTTTAAGTGTTATAAGACGTTTCTTTTATTTACTTTCCGTATCCATTGCTACATTAGTTGATTGATGAATCATACTTTTCATAAGTTGGTTGCCTACTCACCTACAAGGGTACAAATACCATTTTCCACTAACTGAAACCTGCCCAAGAGAATTAGGTGACCCTCACACATACAAACTTTAGCACAGGCAGACCTTAGGCAAAAAGAAAGAGAAAGAGGCAAGACAACAAGAATAACGGGTGGAATGAACAAGATGAGAGATGATGTTTCTACTTTCTATGATCCAGTTTTGAACCTTGTAAGAGTGTGTGTCAAGATTCTCTTACAAACAAACAAGTGGCCTAGTGATTGTTGGGTGAAAACTGTAACTACTAGATTGACCAACTATTTTACAATGCAAATTAATACAAAAGTTCATATACAAGACAAGATTTTATTGCAATAAATGTGCAGGGTTTTAGATCTATTATTGATGTTTGAATGTGTAAGGGGTGTAAGTTACCTCTTTTTAGTAGAAAACGCAGTCAGGTTTGATTCACTAGCCTTCCTCTTCTTGCCTGTAGACATGATCCGTGGAGTATGCGCAACAGACACTGAGTTGTCTGGAGTTGTCACCTCTACTTCCTCAGACACCTTATTTTTCACCATTTTCTTTATTCCGCTTATCATTCCTTCACAAAATAACAGTCAATAACTTTGTTAACCTATATACCCAAAGGGGATTTTTGTTGAACACAATTTCTCGTGTTAACAGTCCAAATTGCATTAATAGTGTTCCCACTCAAACAGTACTCTTCTTGCACAAATTTTATGATTTTGGGCTCTTTTGGCATTGTTAAAAGGTTAAAATGGAATTTGTATTGAAAAATGCATGGAGTAAATTCAGAACATTGGGAGCAAACCATTAAAACATAAAGTATATCTTATATTGCAAAGATAAGAGTACAAATAGTTTACACCAAATTGGCAACCAGGTGCATTAGTGAATAGTTTTATGGTTTTAGCATTGATTATATACCTCTACTAAGTGTTAGCCCTAATACTTTTGTTTGTTAACACAACTTTGAGCAAATCTAGAAGCTGAAGTACTACTATAGAAGCAACAAAACAATAAAAGCTGTTAATAATTTATCTCCCTACTTATCGGGGGATCCATCTTCCATACCTAAATCCACTAGCAATTTGCTGAAAAGGCGACTCTATCTAATCTATTAACATTCATATGGTCTAATACAGCCATGTACAGTAACAAAGCATAAAAAATGGGTGTTTGTTTACTTGTGAGGGATCCACTTCTGCGTTTCTTCTTCTTGTATCGATGTTTGGAGTGCTCGAGCTCGTCATGACTAGAAAGAGAGAGTGAAGTCTGCCAGCTGGGAAGATGATCATACAGACATTCTGGCACCAACCCAATTTGGCCGGCGTCTTCTATCAACATCTGCCACCAATTTTGGCTAAATTAGTTATTAAAATCCCTATTTTTTAGCCCCTGAGCTGATCTTGTGACTAAATCAATAAATAGAGTTACCTTTGTCAATCAGATCATAGTAGTTGTAACATTGCTACGGCCGTTTCAGCATCTTCGTGCCATCATTAGACGTTCAGCCTTAGTGGCGTCGTTAATATACAAAATCATATAATGTCACACTCGACGTACACATACATAAACATAATGTTTAGTCAAAAACCCCGTTTATGTTTATGTGTAAGTCGCGTGTTTTCCCCTTTTGTACTGTATTTGTAATTTGCTAGTATACTGTGGGTAGTTGGCGTATTATGAACACATGCTACAACTTCAAGTCTTTGTTTACTTATTCCTTGTTATTTAATTCAACCAACATTGTTACTTAGCAACCCATAAGACTAATGTTAAAAATATGTGACTTTCAGTTTAATTTTTCTACGTTATTAGATTTTTGTTGGCAGTTCTGACTGTAGTAAACTCGTTTTTAGGCCAAAAATAATCTATTTACAACATTTGAAGAAAATCGTCGGAGCCGTTTTCGAGATCTTGGTACAAGCAGCAAGCATACATACATACAAGCAAACATTGCTCGTATTAGAGTATAGGATTAATGAATGAGTAAACTTGAATATTATGAATTTTCTGATATGGCTCTGTCTTGGATGCATTCATATTTGACTAACAGACATCAAAGAACAATAATCGTAAAAAATGGTAAAAAATGTATTTCACAGTGGCTTAAAGGCCCGTTTTGCCAGAAGCGTCTGATGCGTCTGACGCTTAGCGATAATCGCTCAGCGTCTATCGCTTGGGCCTATTTTGCCAGAAGCGTCTGTTTCTTGTGATTATTTGATCAGTGAGTGGTTTGCTTTGGTGGCAAATCGAATGTTTCTGAAAATGAGCTGTAAAAATCAAATAGTAAAGTATTTGTTAGCTTAGGAATTAGACGATGAAGAGATATTAGAAATAAGGGGCAAACGTAGGGAAGAAGTGCTCACTATGTTTTTAAAGAGACCTGAAGAGGGATATTTTAAATTGTTAATTGTAAATCCCCTCCGCTCTGATGAGACCAAGTTTCACTAGTTTCATCTAGTGTTTCAATGTTTCATCTTCTTCACTATTAAATCCCCACTTTGATTGTGACATGTCACTAAACTTGAAAACAACTTATTTGAGGAAACAAAAGTTAAGTCAACACCTAAACACGTGCTTATTCCAGTAATAATCGCTAGCGACTGCGTCTCCGTCTGCTCCAGGAGCAGTGGTCCGCGTCAGACGCTAGCGTCTCAGTTACAGACGCTGGCGGCTGTAGCGATAGACGCTTCTGGCAAAATAGACTGACCTAAAACAATGCAAAGCAGTGGGCAGCGATAGACGCGGTGCGATAATCGCTGAGCGATAGACGCACGAGACGCTTCTGGCAAAACGGGCCTTAACACTAAATGTGGGGTTCCACAATGGTCAATACTAGGCCCCTTGCATTTATTAACATTTATTAATGACTTACCTCGAAATGTATCGTCTAACCTTATCTTATATGCTGATGACACTACAGCAATAGTTAAATCAAATAATTTGCAAAATCTTAAACAAGAAATCAGTCTTTCTATTCTTAATTTATCTAATTGGTTTACAGCCAACGGGCTAAAACTTAATAATTCTAAAACACAGGTGATGTTATTTCAAACAATTCAGAATAGGCAAAACTCCACTGTTGAATTATCTTATGATAATAATATTATATCCTTAACTGAAAATGCAAAATTTTTGGGTTTAGATATCGATAAGAATTTAACATGGAAAACACATAAAAATGGTAGTTGGTAAATCAAATACGACTTGCTTTCAAATGTATGTTTTGAGAAATGTAATAGATTTAAAAACTAAACTCACAGCGTAATATGCAATGTTCTTTTCTGTCTTGCAATACATCGCCTTTGTTTATATGAAAGATCTCCTTATTATATGGGATTAAGGCTTTACAACAGTCTACCCACTAATTTCAAAGAAATTAACAGTATTTCAAAATTAAAAAATGATTTCAAATGATACCTTTTACAGAAAAATTATTATAAGATTTCCGATTATTTAAATGATAAGTAAATATATTTTAGTTTAAGCTATGTGGATTTTAGTTTTGTTATGTAACTTAGTGTTTAAGATCTCTGACAATATCACCTGTTTCACCAGCTAACGCTGGATCTGTGAAATGATTTTGTGATAATAAAGTAATATTTCATTTCATTTCTCGACAACCCCCAAACTCGACATTCTCTGGGTTCACAAATTGTCAAGATAGTGAGTTTTTACTGAACATAGAAAATTAGTACTTTTTATATGCAGCTGGAGTTATGAAAAGTATGTTAATGGTTTGAAGTAGATGAACTAACTGTGGATTAAGTACTATGAACTATGACTAAGTAGAAGAACTTACAGTGCAGTGTTACAGACCTGAACAATAGCAAGACGTTTCTCAAAAGCCTGCTTGTCATCAACACGGCCTGTTTTGAATGGCATCAGATTAGGAACCCAGACAATAGCAAGATTACTGGCATCCATCTGGTTGTATTGACTGTGAGCAGCGACTTCATGCAAGAACTAGAACATAATATCGAAATTATAACTTTATACCATAACAGTAGTTGCTCGCTATCCGGCAAGTTCAGGAATTCAGCAATACCGGGATATTAAAAGAATCAAGAATTTACAACAAATACAAAATGAACACTTTGTATAACTGACTTTAAAAGACAAATAAGTGTGAATGTTTGAATGCTCCAAAACAGTAAAAAGTGTCCAGGATGGCCTTGTTATTAGGGCCTAAGATTTAATAACAATGAATTTACAAACAGGAATACAAAAGAACATCCAGTCGAAACACTAAAAACTAATATCAATGCCAGAAATAAAACATTTACTTTAACAATAAAAAGGGTGATTTGAGCGGATCACACATCCATAAGGAGTGTGTCCTTGTTGACACAACAGCAAAACACACGGCATAATAATTTAAAAACTAGAATTAAAACAATACAGTACATTCCCAATTAATTGAGGTTTGGGGACCAAGACTACTTTAGTTAACGAGTATCTCAGATAACAAGGAGGTCACATGGGTTTTGAGGTTAAAGCAAAGGTACCACATTAGGAACCCAACATATTTTTTTATAGTTGGTACCAGCAAAATAGTTCACTTTTAAACAAATTTAAATTAACATCTTCAAGAAGAACTGGTAATATTGGAATGAATATAAATTTTAAATAAAAAACTCACCAATATTTTAAGAATTTTTAATTTTATGAGGCCTTTCGCCATCTGTGCTGGCATCATCAGACACATCACAAAACTGAAGGTTATGTTTATGTTTAAAAATACAATGATAAATTTTAAAGAATGTAACATATGGGTTGTTAAAAATAAAAATTATTCTGTTAAGTACATTAAGCTAAAATTACAAAAATAAATTATATATGTATAAAAATTAAACATAAAGTAGAATTAACTTATTTAAATAAAAATGTTGTGCTTCAGCTGGCAAACGATATTAAACATTTTTAACCCAATATAAGAAAAGGAAATTATTCCTATGTTTTGTAAAATAATATTTAGTCTATGAAAAGTGTGATCTTAAAACTACAGAATTAATTTTTTACTTTATCATTAACCAAATATCAAACACACATAATCTATATAAATAAAATTACAGTTTTGTCTGTACATTGCGTAGAATCATGCAGTTTTTTTTTTTTTATGTTTCAATAGCCTAAGAAAGCCGAAACGAGTCTTATCTAAATTTCTGTCCGTCTGTCTGTCTGTCTCTCTCTGTCATTCTGTCTGTAACGCCAAAATGTCAATTTACGCGGCCTACTCCTAGAAAACTAGAGTACCGATCAAGATTCAAATCATTTTTGTGTATTGACTGGATTGGTGAGAGTGTCTTTGGCTATTAAAATATGGCCTCGCTACTTTGGAAATAAAATAATGAACTATCAAAAACACAATTTTGTACAATTTTTATCAAATTTTCTCTCAATTTTTAAAACATACGTCATTTATGAAATAACGAACAGCTGTTTGGATTAAGATTCTCACCTCTAACTGTCACTGATATGTTTACAGTGAATGTAGTTTACAAATACTGCAACATTTCCAATCACATTTTGTAAGCAAATCGAAAACCATTCATTGAACAGGTGAGATACATCAAGTGATCTTTTGACTTACATACCGGATTTAATTGATCGCAAGTACAATAACGTGTAACTGTAAATTAAATTTGAGTTTTGACAACTGGAAAAAATACCGTAAATCAGTGTTGTATAAAACTGGGAAACTTAAAATTTTTTAATTATCGTCACCAATAGCCTACAATCGAGGATTCCACTCATTAACGGTGTTTCCATGGTGTTGGTATCAAGTAAATAATCACACCTGCAGTGGGTGATCTACTTAAGTTTTTATAACCGGGAATAATACCGTAAGTCAGTGTTGTATTAGGCTGGGAAACTTACATTTTTAAATCATCATCACCAATAGCCTACTATCGTGGTTACCACTAACTAACGGCGTTTTGATGGCTGTTGTATCAGGTAAATAATCACAACTGCAGTGGGTGATCGCGGTTGTTACTGCGATTTGGAAGACGTACCTTTATGATTTCGTTGTGATCGTTACGGTGTTTTTTTCTGCTAAACTCGCTTTTCCAATATAGTCCAGTCAATGAATGCTCATAAGAGGGGTGTAGAGGACATGGAGAGGGGGAAATTTTTTTTCTGCGGGAATGTGTTCGGGGTAGTTAGAAGATAAAAATACCAAAAGTCCCCGCCCCTGGCCCTGCTGCTTCAGCGGGGGAGGGGGGGAAAGACCCCATTTTTTAGTTTTTTACTTCTACACTGAAAACCGTGCGTCGTACGGAAAAAATGTAAATTATAAAAAGAAAGATGATGAAATTCTCTACAAGAATGGTTATATTCATTTCTTATGTATATGCATTAGTTTTAAAGATATTCTCAAAATAATATAAAAATTATTTTCTAAATTGATTTTTCAGGCGTTTTTTCCAAATTAATTCATATAACCGATTAGCCTGCTGTTGTTTTACATTAGTAAGGATAGAAAACAGGTTTTGGAGCACTAACCTATATAATATAATATATCCATCGTATATATTGTGTTAAAAATAGTTTATATAAATTTATTTAAGTTATGTATTTTTGTCATGGAAAAAATTAATTTTGGCATAATTATTACACCAAAAATGAAAAGGATTATGTTTGCAGCTACATTTGTCCAGGTTTATTTATAACAATTACCGAAACCAAGACTTTTAATACTATTGTTCATGACCCGACTTACTTGGGGCGAGAGGGTCCAACTTCTGTCCCAAAAACAGGTGCCATCTGGAACTGAGAACGACCATCTAGGACATTTCCATCATTCAATTCTTGTTGATTAGACTCAATATTGGCTATGGAAGTAATAATGTGGTGTAGGCCTATATATTCTTTATCTTCCTCATTCATCAGAATGGGCATTCCATGTAAAAAGTTCCCTTAGCAGTTCTGGCATAACGGCCAACGAGGAACAATTAATAGACATTTCATTGCATGTACATCTTTTATTGCTACAGTCTTTATTACTACAGTCTAAAATCAGGGACTCTCCACCCTCCAATTTTAACCATTCCAACTAAAGTCTCCCCTTACCTTACTTCCTTTGTACAACCCTACCCTAAAAAAAAAAAATGACAAAGACAGAAGAACTGTCTACTCAAAATGAAAATTTAACCCAATCCAACAAAAATGACCAAGCACCGCTGGATCTTTTAGAAAATAAGACTTACTGTAAAATATGTAACTGTATAGTATATGATGATGACAAAGCAGTAGAATGCGACTGCTCAGACTGGTACCATATAAGATGTGCTCATATCACGACAAGACAATACAAAGCAATGATGGACGAGGAATACCTAATGACATGGACATGCAAATCCTGCCTAAAACTAAAACGAAGAGAACTCGCCTCTCGATCCAACCCAATACCACTGGACACATCTAAGCCAATCAAGGACGCAACCGATCAACAGGACCTGATCAACACCTACAAGAACAAAGTCAAAGAATATGAAAAAATTATTGACCTGCTAATGGAAGACCTCAATGAACTAAAGGAAAACTTTAAGGACAAAACAAAAGAAAATGAGAAACTGGCTGAAATTATAGCAAAGAAGATTGAAATCATACAAAAACTCGAAGCAACCATATACAGCATCATAAAGAAAAATAATGAAAACCTTGAAGGTCACCTACTGGACGATCAAGTCACAACCACAATAAATAGACCTAATGACAGCAATTCAAAAAAGCCTAGGCCTATTACAAAAGAAGAGATCGCCTCAGAGTCTACAACAAAAATAATCCAAAATACAACAACCAATGACGAGAAATACAAAAAAGAATTAATGCCCCCACCACATACTCAATTTCCTACCTCATTGAGCACAAACTCAAAACTCGCTCAAGATAGTAGGCCGAGCCCTAAACACACACCTAACACAAGAGAAGTTAAAAACGAGCCTGATGCTCTAATAATCAGTGACTCCATTCTTAAAAGAGCCGTTACTGCCATCAAATGCTCCGACACTCATGTAATTCATTATAGAATTATGCCAGGAGGGAAAATTGCTGATCTAAGCAGATTCCTGTGCCACCAAAAATAACTCCCTAATAAAGTTATAATTAATATGGGATCAAAAAATGTCCAGCTAGCCCCAACGCCAAATCATGTAATGAGACCCCTCTGGTACACAATCGAATCCCTTCAAAAAATCCATACTGAAACTAAATGGCATGTGCACAGTATATTGTACAGGATGGATGTTCGAGACTGCTACATCGACCAAATAAATGATGCCCTTAGATTCATGTGCGAACAACTACATGTAAATTTTGTAGATATAACTAGCTCTTTTGGGGAAACCCTCTAATTGGAGACAAAGCCTTGAGTGAATCTTTGGAGCTTACACTCCGGGATGACCAAACTACGAATCAAACCCGAGCAACTACAAAAACCTGTCCAAGAATGAGTAGGCCTACAACACCTGCCGGTACCAAAAATCACAAAACAACCAAAAGCCACATAACGACTGAAGATAAACCTCCAACTGAAAATCAACCAGCGGACCAACTAGTGATTGAGGACAAACCAAGCCTAGCGACTGAGGAGTCCCTTGTGACTCTGGATCTGACAGAGACTGAGGATACACTGGCAACTGCAGACTTGGCTAAAAACAGAGACCAAACTACCAAAATCCTTAACAATAGTCCAAAATCAAAAAACCCCCAAGCCTAATTGCCACAAGTGATCAAGCCCATCTTCCGTATTCTAAAAACACCAATCAACCCATAATAAATCCTGAAAATAAAAACCCCAGCCTTAAAATTTATCACCTAAATATCCAAAGAGGACTTCACAAAAAAATTGAAAAATTATTATTTTAAATCCATGAAATAAATCCAGATATACTAATAATATCAGAACATGGCCTAACAAATGAAGAACTAAAAACAGCAAATATACCTAATTATATTTTATC